CCTTTCTGATAAAGACATTGCTTCTTTAGATAAAATCAGATTACATTTAAATTTTAATGGCCAAGGAGTCAATCTACCCTTTAAGATTATTTCTATATAGTGTTCTGATACATGATTTACCTAAAACAATCTTATTGTCCTTATTTACAAATTCTTGGTGGAAGGGATGAGGCATACATTGTATCAGGGGTTCCCAACCTATGGTGAGTTGTATAATTATTTCATTGTATCTTATAATGTAATGATAATAGAAATAAAGTACACAATAAATGTAATGTGCTTGAATCATCCTGAAATCATCCCTCCCCCCAATCCATGGAAAAAATTGTCTTCCATGAAAACAGTCCCTGGTACCAAAAAGGTTGGGGACCATTGCACTATACTACAGCCTTCACATACAAGCAATAACAACCTGAACAGTCAATTTTATCAACATAACTCACCATACTTCTTCTAATATAGCTGATGGCTTTTTTCATATCCATGCCTGACCAGTTGTTGAGCATATAGCAAATACAGGAAGCACAGTACACAAATCTCATGTCATTTTCACTGCCTTCAGGTACTGCACAAAAACTGAAAATAATGATTTTCTATTAACACTGGACTATAATTGTTTTGCAGGGGGGTTAGAAACACTTCTTTTGTGTCTTTACTCACAAAAAATCTATAACTTATTTTAAAACCATATTCTAGTTGGATTAGTCAATAAATAATAGGACTATTAACTTGAATATAAAACTATCTCTAAATCATCACTCGACTCCAAACTTCTGACTCCTGGGTAGTTTTACACACTATCATGCTATTCCTACCCAGATGCTACCACTCAGACTGAGCTTATTTGCTCCCAGCCAGGGATAGCTGTGGTACACTGGCTTGTGAATTAATGACAGAAAAAGTATTAGGTTGGTGCAAAAGTAATTGCGGTTTGGACCATGAATTTCAAATCATTATATAACTAGGCTCAAACACATCTTTTTTTTCCCTTTTTTTAAAATTTCAGCATATTATGGGGGTATAGATGTTTAGGTTACATATGTTGCCCTTGTACCCCCTTCTCCCCCCCCGAGTCAGAGCTTTAAGCGTGTCCATCCCCCAGATGGTGCGCATCGCACTCATTATGTATGTATATACCCACCCCCAAACACATCTTTATTAATCGAAATAGGAACCATTACAATCAACACATTTTTGCCCAGGAGAAATAAGTTTGTTTATTCCTGTAGTGTAAAAATTCGTGCTTTGAGATTCAATGAATTCTTGGAAAGCATTTTCTGTATCCTGCTGGTTGTGGAAGTGTTTTCCCTGCAAGAAGTTGTGGAGGAGATGCTTGAAGAAGTGACAGTCAGCTGGCAAAAGGTCAGGTGAATGTGGTGGACAAGGCAAAACTTCACAGCCCAATTCATTCAACTTTTGAAGTGTTGGCTGTGCGACATGCAGTCTGGTGTCATTGTGGAGAAGAATTGGGCCCTTTCTGTTGACCACTGCTGGCTGCAGACGCTGCAGTTTTTGGTGCATCTCATTGATTTGCTGAGCATACTTCTCACATGTAATGGTTTCGCTGGGATTCAGAAAGCTGTAGTGGATCAGACTGACAGCAGACCACCAAACAGTGACCATGACCATTTTTGGGGGCAAGTTTGGCTTTGGGAAGTGATTTGGAGCTTCTTGTTGGTCCTACCACTAAGCTGGTCATCCCTGGTTATTGTACAAAATCCACTTTTCTTTGCACGTCACAATCTGATAAAGAAATGGTTCGTTGTTGTTGCGTACAATAAGAGAAGACAACACTTCAAAACAATGATTTTTTTGATGTTCAGTCAGCTCATGAGGCACCCACACATCGACCTTTTTCACCTTTCCAATTTGCTTCAAATGCCAAATGACCGTAGAATGGCTGACATTGAGTTCTTCGGCAATTTCTTGTGTAGCTGTAAGAGGATCAGCTTCGATGACTGCTCTCAATTGGTCGTTATCAACTTCCTATGGCCAGCCACTACGCTCCTTACCTTCAATGCTATTGTCTCCTTTGCAAAACTTCTTGAGCCACCACTGCACTGTACTTTCCTTCCTTAGCAGTTCCTGGGCCAAATGTGTTGTTGATACTGGGAGTTGTCTCTACTGCTTTCTGATCCATTTTTAACTTGAACAAGAAAATCGCTCGAATTTGCTTTTTGTCTAACATCATTTCCATAGTCTAAGATAAATCTAAACAGCATGTAACAGGTCATTAACAAAAAAATAAAGAAATATGCATTAAAATGATGTATAACATGACCTCATTTAAGAATGTATTCCAATATCAAACAGCAAATTTCAATAATGCTAAAACTGAAATTACTTTTGCACCAACCTAATAGGTAAAATCTGACACCTATTGTTGGGCAGTAAAAAAATTCCCAAGCCCAAATTTTTCTGTGTGAAATTTCTTCCAAAAGTATATATATCTCTCCATTAATTGATTGATCATATTGTGTTTTAATTTTACATATTTAATTAGTTTTAGGTGACAATCTGTGTTGCCTATTACATTTCTTTACTTATAAACAAGAATAAGGCAGCAGTAATCAAAAACCACACTGAAATATTTAGATATTCGTCACATGTACTGGCTGAGGTAGATATTTATAGTATTTCTAATTAATCTCAATTTAGTCTATAAGTAAATTTAATCTTTCCCTCACTTAGAGCAGTGCTTTGAAAACACAAATAGGAAAATGAAGATATTAGTAGATGGAGCACAAAGATGTAACAACATAGGATTTGTCTGCC